GGGGGGGGGGGGGGGGGGGGGGGGGGGGGGGGGGGGGGGGGGGGGGGGGGGGGGGGGGGGGGGAGAGGGAGAGAGAGACAGGCAGAGAGAGAGAGAGAGAGAGATAATGGGTGCGGGCTGAGACCGGAGCGGGTACAGGCGGGAGCGGGGGAAGGTTTTTTAAGGTTACCTTTCTTGGCCAGACCGGCGCGGCGGAACAAGCTACCCGGAACAATGGTCAGAACAACGACACGTGTCTCATTCGAAGACAAACAAACCCAACAAAACACGATGGAAACGGCAACATCAACACCGCCACCTCCACCACCAACAACGACAACAACAACAAACAACATCACCTCCACCACCGCAAACAACAACAATAGTGACAGCAGTGGTCTGTCTGTCGTGTCGCCTATACCTGAGGCCCCTCCGGGTCCGAGAAATCGTACTGCCACATGCCCATCTCTGGCGCCGGCGTGAACCCCACCGCCATAATGTCCGCCACCGTAATCTCGGGCAACACTCCCGCCACCTGTTCCGCGCGTGCCGGTACGTTCATGATGTGGAGGTTGAGACAGGACAAGGCATGAAAGGGGTCGTCACACCCAGCAGACGCGAAACTCGCACAGGGCAATGGGGGACGGCCGGTTTAGCGAGACCCCCTTGTAGGGTAAGGAGGGAATGTGGTCGCTATTCAGGGCAGGCCATCGCTATTGCCGGCATAGCGGACGTAGTCGGGGTGCAGCAGTGGTGCCACGCAATCTTGGTGGTCGCTACACACAGGGCATGTATGTCGCCAAACAGGGAGGTGCTAACGACTACGGCATGCGTTTACATGTGTACACCCCCCATCCCACCCTTTTTCGTCCTACTGTAAAGTTACAGTTTCTTGTTTGTTCTCTTCATCTTCCTCGCACCTGCACGATACGAGGCGCGAACACCTCGTCGTCCATCTGGTCTACTGGAAGGAATCGCGACCTCATGCCGTGGGCCCCCTCTAGCGGCGCGGCCTGGGTGTTATTTTCGGCGACAAGGAAAAATGGACGAAAACGGCGGGACAGAGATGCCGGCGGGGGCGGTGTAAGCAGGCGAAGGCTATACCTAACGAGGGAGTAGGTGAGTCAAAACAACCTCCGCCATCTGCCTTAGAAGGTTCTTGGCTTACAAAGTCGGAGCTTGAGAGACACAGGTGCAATGACGACGGAGACATTAGTTGACAAAAAGCTTGAAAAAAACGTGTCTTTCAATCACACCGCTTAATGGGAGCATAAAGTTGCGGGAAAAGTTTAAGAGTGAAAACTTTTCTCGCTGCTTTTTTCATGTACGCTCTTTATGGGGGCAAAAAGTAGCTTTTCACAATAATCGCGCGATCTGGAGAAACAGTTAAAGATTGCTAACTTTTCTCGAGACGAAAGTGCGGAGAAAAGTTCCGCGGCGAGACTTCCGCCAATCCACGTCAAGCACCTGCCCCTACCACTCACGCTGAGCCTCTCCCGTCACACACACGCGCAAGATCCACGCGATAGATGAACGGTCAAGTCAGATACTTGAACGACGAGTTGGAACTGCCTGCGATGGCCGCAGCTGTGTAGAATACGTATACAACAGATGTTTAGAGAGTCTGCTTCAACGTTTGTAATTCGATATGAGCATGATTGATGTCTTCCTGGCTTCGATTGGAAGGCACAACAACAGGATTTTTGCCACCAACCCGTTTTCCAAGCTTGTGTTGCACTCTCTGATTTTTAGCGCGGTGGGGTTGCAAGGGGTGTACTTGGTTCTCGCCGCTGCTCAATAAACAACAAATGATCACGCCTCCGCACTCCACCAGTCCCGTGAAGAAAACTTCCTTTGCCCCTGACAGTGAGCGTGCATAAAAGTGATTTTCACAAAAGTTCCCGACCAATAGTTTAAAAATTGACTGTTTTCGCAACTGTATGCTCCCATAAAAAGCGACGTAACTACATAGCGAACAGGTCGAGGCATCGGCAACACATCGCATCGGATGGGTACGGGTACGTGTTTTTAGACGGACGTCGACAGCACGAGGGTGTTTTAACCGGTAAGTATTTCTATCATCGCACGACGGGTCGAGGTCCGGCGAGAATGTGCAGCATGTGTGTTGTTTCCATCGGCATATCTGATCAAGTTTTCCCAATGGTGTATATACGAGGAGGGCATGCCAAATAATCGTAGCTGTTCAACAACTCTGAGAGTGTAGCTCTACGGAAGATACGACGATAACACGCACGCATGCTAGCTGTTCTCCAAACGGTATCGACTGGCTCCCTGAATAGATGGGATGAAATACACAAACGTGCACACACACAGGTCTGGTAACCTGTTAGCGTGGTCGATGCCAATACATCAAGGCACACATACAACCCTACATAACAAGGTCAGCTGGGTCGTGACGGAAGATACCACACCTCCCACAGAAACATGGTGTCAGCTGTAACGGGTTCTCGATTACATATAATAGCTCTCGTGCTTGACATCGTGGCGTTGTGATAGCTTCCGTGTTTCACAAAATCGTGGCGTTGTGGTCTGATGAGTCACCTATGGCATGCGTGTGGTGTACAGCAGTGTCTTCGGAAGGTTCATGCTGCCCTCATGTGACTCCAATGCCACTGCGGATGATGCGGTTGCGAACGCGTGTACCTGTGCCATTTGACAAGTTTTGGGTGTATGGCGCCAACTGAATTCAGCAAAAAGTGCTACAGAGAAGACCATACGACACGCTGCCTTATAACCACTGCCCATGCCTGTCCATCCTTGGAAGGCAGCAGCGGAATAGCACGCGACTGTTGCTGTTGCGGTGTGCGGCCAGTGTTGTCGCTGCTCTGCACGTCAACTTGTGATCATGATCAAGATCGATCATTACACGGAAAAGTAAGCGCTTAACGACACCCGGCATGCACGCTTTGCTGCTGCTCGACATTCACGATCACAAGGTGGTGAACAAGCGTAACTCTCTCTCCCTCTCTGTCCATGTCACTATCTCTACTCACCATCGACAAGCTCCCTGTTCGCCCTGAAGTACCGACGGCAGCAGCCGAGCCGCCGCCTGGTGCCCGCGATGACAACAACGTGGGGTTCACAACGAAAGCTCTTGCGCCCGCCAGCAAGAGAGCACACGCTACCACGCAGGTTCGGCACTTTGCATCCTTCATGGTCGCAAGCGAGTCCAGGCTACTCTGCGTCTCTTGCGTGTCTGTGAGCAGCGCGAGACACGAGACCGGGCGACGACAAAGGAGTTGTAGAGATCGGACAGGGATGTTTTTCCTCGGTGGCCGCAAGCCGGCACGCGGCGACCGGCGGTTGGCAGTGTGGCGGTCGATTAGGATCTATCCTCAGAGACTCAGGGTGGATTGTAATGGTCTCAAGGGCGCGCCTTCTTTGTCTGTGCACGCCTCGCTGTTGCTGCAGTAAGTGCGTACGTCGCCTTTCTCCACGTCGCCCTTCTCTCGAAATTCTGTTGTTACTTTCTGTGAGGAAAAGGGGACTCTATCCAATTCAGGTGCTCTTTGCACATACATACGTGGAAACGAGAGTTTGAACCCTCAAGTTCCAACTGGTACGTTTTGTACGTGCACACGTACAAATGCAACGTGTGTGGCGCTCGTCGTGTAGAATGGGTTCAGTTGTTGAGTTGCCGTAAAACTATGTACGAGTAGTCTCCGTTCCGAAGCATCACTTTTCTCTCGAATGTATGCGCATAAAAGAGGCGAAGTGTAAAGTTGTGCTGTTCTTCCTACCCTCGGCTTATTCGTGACACATCAACTTCTATGACGTCTCTCCTTGCACTCTTGTCATGATCTGTTCGTTCTACATAGGATCTTTTTTTTTTCTTCGTCAGATCATTTGGTCACGGGAGACACAACAATGGCCGTAAAAGCGAGGCAATCGACTTTCTTTGCAGTGTAGCCTTTGGCTATTTCTGCTGCAAAATTCACAACGAACGGAAGGACAAACCGCACCCCCAAATCTATCTATCGGTTGTGCCGACCACGGCCACAAATGAATTTCGCAACCAATCAAGTCACCTTCTCTAAGTGCCTCAACGTCAGGCTTCGGTAGCTTCACAAAAGCGCTACAAGAAACGCCATCTTCCTCTCGCTGTACGTCGCAAACTAAAACTTGTGCTATATATACAGGCAATCTCGTAACACTGCCATAGCTAGCTGTAGACTATGCACGGGGTACCCCACTCCCACCCTTGGGCCCAGTCGGCGAAAGGCCCGACGTCTCCTGTCCCTGCCCGAGCTGTGCTCGGGGCACAAGGGTCTAAACAATGAACAACAGAGGCTTACACTCCCCATGCGTAGCCAAAAACGTCAAACTATACTTCCATGCATCGCCGAAAGTGTGCTTTCCCACCACAGAGACACAACAAAAACACCAACCCGTCCACGAGGCACCCCCAGTAGCTACACATGGCGCACGTCTTTTCCAATGCTGTCGTCCACGAAAGCGCGCTAATTTCGCACGGAGGCTGGCAAATACATAGCTTTTTCACGCCAGCGTCTTGAGCCAGGGTAAAATCGCTGCACGTTTTGTTTGCGTTGGGTCGGTGGGCGCGTGAGACGGAGAGCACGCCGACGGGTGGAGGGAGAGAGGAGGCATCGGACAGGAGGTGAGAATAGGGGGGGAAAACATCTGTCTGTACACACTTGGCCAACGACCAGCCACCGCCCACGTTGATGGACCAACCCTACAACCGCAGCTATCTTCTTCTTTTTTTTCTCCCACCATTGTCGTCTGCCTCTCTGGCCCCTATCCTCCACTTCTACTAGCTAGACGACCCAACCGGGGTCACATAGGAGGGGGGGGCTGGACCCCCTCCTGCGGTTCCTGCCTGAGGTATTTTGTACCCCCTCAGATACGCTAGACGTCAAAAAAATGTCTGTCCGAGATTCCAGCCCACGCACGAGGGAGCGCTATCACTACCATATCACCCCTCCCTACTTGCGCAACGCTACTAGAACACGGATCGTCATTTCGTATTCTGCACGGGTTGATGACGCATCTGGTTATTCGCCCCGCCTGACAGAGCTGCGTACCGCATGCACGGACGGGTGTATTCGTACTTCGTAACAAAAACTCCTCTTCAACAGGGTTGGTAAATCGAAAGCAGTTTCGAAAAAACGGTACTCTAGAATGTATTCATGCCTCCACAAAAACTTCGGAGATCCCCTTCACGAAAGGCACAATCTCCCCCAGTGTCTGTCGAGGAGGATTGATTCCCTCTTGTCACTACCTTAATCGTAAGGCAACACCCAGCGGCACAAACACACCTGCGTGGCACTCCTCCGGGTTCTCGTCGTGGGGGCAGTGGCCGGTCTCGGGCAGGACCACCAGCTCGAACGTGTCGAGGTACTGGCCGAGCGTGTCCCCGGCGTGCAGGCCGGTCTTGAGGGGGGTCCAGGGGTCCAACTCGCCCCACAAAGCAAGGACCTGTAGATGCCGTTCCTCGCATCGTGGTGGGGAACGTGTTTGTCAGAACGAAGAGTCAAAGCAAGTAACCTTGCTTTGGTGCAAGCGAAGCAAGCGCTCCAGGTCGCGTTGTACCATGCATATCATGTGTGTGTGTTTCCGCCCATCTATTCTGGGTACCAGTCTAGGTCTTTTCGGTGTATGTTTGACGCACTAGCCAGGTCACGCGAAAGGAAGATACACGAAGTTTATTCTCCCATATCTCCCTGCGGTGCTGTCTACCACACCTTTACACTTCGGTGTACGTTTGCCGTACCAGCCGGGGCCTCACAAAATGGGAAAATACACACAAGTAGTTTTCCATCTTGCTTCCTGTGGTGCGGTCTACACCTCTACATTTCGGTGTGCGTTCGACGCATCACCCGTGGTCTCACGCAAAGAAGATACACGGATGTTTTTGCCTGCATGTGTGTATCTTCCTACGGAGCAGTCTACACCTTTTCATTTCGGTGTGTGTTTGACGTACCGAACGGGGTCTCACACAAAAGGAAGGCATGCATCATACATTGTTCTCCCCCGGGCGTCTCGCTTCCTTCGGTGCTTGCCTTCGGCTTCTTGCATGTATGCTGGAAGGGTTCAACACTCGACCCCCCTACCTATCATACCTTGGTGTCCTTGATTTTCTTTAGCAAAGAGGCCGGGGTGGGCCCCGGCGGCCCCGTGAACACCTTGAGGAAAACGTCACAAGCTCCGTCGTCGTCGCTCGGGGTAATCAAACTGACGCAGCAGCCGCAACGGGGAGAGTGGCAAGGGTTCGGGGAAGTGGACTCGATAAGCTTTGAATCTCTTCGATCCTCAGAATGCGTTACCCTCTTGGGGGTGTCAGCGCTAGTTGGGACCAAAACGGAAGGTAGTGACCACAACAAAAAACTGAACGGACAACAAAGACGGGCATAGTCTGTTCCTGGTTCTTGTGGGGGAGGGGGGGGGGGGCCCCCCCCCCACGCCCCGTCGGAGAAAAGACACAGCAGACTTACAGCTTTACGAGGTCGTCGTCCACCGCTTCGGGTCGGCAGTACACCTGCTTCAGCACGCTTCGGACGTTCTCCTCTGTCTTGAAGTTCGCGAAAAATTTCGGCCCGAAGTAAGGGCCAAACACCTACCGTGTGGTCGATGCAAGCCACGGCCGGGAGAAATGGCGTCAGCTGTTTACATGGAACGACAAAATAGTTTCACGAAACGGGGACACGCAAGCTACAACAGCTCTCAGAGAAATAAATCAGCACCAAGGGTTGGAGCAGACCTTGCGCGAAGGTCCGTCAAGGATGGCCCCCCGCACCTTTCGCAACGTAGGAAGGAACGATTGGCCATCGGCGATCCGACCTATGGGAACAATGCTCCGTCCTCTCGAGGACGCGTGGTCAATGGTCTAACCGCTGAGGCATGCAAAACATAAGAGGACGTCCCCCCCCCCCCCCGGTTCCCCGGACATTCAGGGGCCGAAAGAGATGCCGCCCAGCGATCGGTACACCGGTGCCATGCAACGACCAGAACCAGGGCTGTTCAACGCAAAGCAACCACGACATCCTAATCCCACCAACGGCAACGGCCACAGCCACCGTGATGTAGATGGACTCAACGACATCAAACCAGAAGCAACAAAGCAGAATGTGTTCTTGAGCACGCACAGGAGGGGCAGAACAAATACCCAAAGATTCATTCTTCGCGCCAGAAAATAAAACAAGAAGGCGCCCACCACGCACCCACCACGTTGTTGAAGAACCACATGACCGGAAGCAGGTAGAACGGGAGCTCCGACTTCCGGAAGCTCACCAGGCCCCCGGCGGTGTTAAAGAGGACCGACCCGCGGACCTTTAGGAGGCATGAAGACAAGGCAGGGAGNAGGGGGGGGGGGGTGAGGGCATCCCAGTGTGTAACAAGTGCGGATCGAGACATCCCCAGACATCAAGACCAAGGTGATGAGCAGTGTTACACCCCGCAGGGTACAGCGTCGATTTGTAGAGCTGATGCAACATGCGTCATGCATATTGAACCTGCAGCCGATATATATATATGCAGATGTGCAAGTACAGCAGTGGATATAGGGGGTAATGCACGCACCATTTCGGAGTTGGCCACAAAAAATGACGCACGCCCCCTTGAACAACAACGACGAGTCCCGGTTTTTACGGGCTGAACGAGAAGACAATCGCCCCGTCACGTCGTTGCTCCCCGGCACATGTCAACAGCGACAATCCCGGTGAAACCTCGGCCGTAGAGTAACAGGCAGCCTGCCAACACCAAAGACCACGAAAAAAGCTCCAAGGAGCGGCATCAAAAACCACAACACCGGCCCCCACGGACATGACACCAAGACCACCACACCATTCCCACCAACAGCAAATTGATTGCAATACCATGGGTGCCGTTCTCGGCCTCTGTCCTAAGCCCCAGCACGTCGTTTTCCACTTCCCGTTCCTCACCCAGACCCACTGGTAAGGTGGGCACCATACACTGACCTAGTCTTCCAGATTTCGTGCGACTAAGTCGGTTTTTTGTCTATCGCTCTCCTGCCGGTGTGAAGCATGACGCGGACAGTGCATATCGCAGCGGTTGATAGATGCTGATCTAAAAGAAAAAATAAGACGTTTCAAATATTTCACTGCGGCTGTGATTCGTCTGCCAATTGCTTTCCCAGGGCGATTGGTTCTGCGGAACTCCTTTGACCACTCTGTCTCTCTCTCTGGGCCAGCACACATCGATGGGAAACCTTGCTGACTACCACTGCTAACCCTACGAGTTCTCTTCATGCAAACTCAACCATGAGCGCAAGCAATCATTCAACGATAACGTATTCAACGTCATGTAGCCAGTCCTTCTCAATGAATAGAAGACGTCGTCAAATCGGAGAGCCCACTCAACCCCACTGCCTTGCTTCTTGGGCATGAGAAAGAAGATGTATGTACCGCCTGTCATGCGGTAGGTTTCCATCTAAACTATTTGGGGGTTGTAACGCCTCTCGTGCGATAGTTTTCCAGCTAAATCATCAGGCGTTACTGCCTGGCACCGCACACAACACGCACCTTTCGCGCTTCCTGCAGCCCCTCGGTGAGCATTAGCGTCAGAAGGCCGCCAATCGAGTTCCCCATCACGACCCACTGCTCCGACTCGCCCCTAGACTTGTCGCTGATGAAATCGGTCAGCATTTCCTGCCAAAGCTCCAGAGAGAACTGTGTCGTCAACCGCACACACAAATCAACAAGAGATAGTCGAGCGCCGTAGTCTTCTTAACCGATTTCGCGAACAATGCAGGACATGCCCGCAGAGAGAGAGAGAGAGAGAAGTAGGTGCACATCGGTAAAAAGGTAGTCCGCTTGCATCGAAGCAGACTTCAGGACCCTTACATGAATGGGTGCGCTGGCTCCAACAGACTCTTGGCGCTACTTGAGGGTGCTGCTATGCCAGGCCTATGTCTACGTGTGTGATCCGCTTGATGTCGAGGTCGTGTTGCGGCAACTTCGCCGGATATTTTTGAAACTACTGTACACATGTTAACGAAGCAAAACACGATCAAGAACTTACTGTTCTCGCTTAAAGACTAAGGCTGGTCCATGCGTTAGATCTCCACGTATCGTCGTGCTCATTCGAGGTCTTCTACGCAGAGTGCGATGACGATGGAGTGATGGATACCCACACGGGCGAAGCGGACAAGGAGGGGATGAGAAATTCACTTCCCCGCCTCGGAAAAAAGCCTTCGCTTCCGAGCACAACGTGTCTTTATCTTCCAAAACCTACCACGTACCATCACATTGATCTCATCGTTTCGCCACAACAACAACCACCACGATACACGTTCCTCCCTTGTAAGCAAACGCCAAAAAAAAAAAGATGGTGTGACAAAGTACCTCCACGTCCTTCGGCTTGTCGCTCGCGCCGAAGCCGAGGAGATCGATCGCGTAAACTCGATAGCCCTCACCCACGAGGGTGGGGATGTTCTTCCGGAAGTGGCCGATTGACGCACCGAAACCGTGAATCAGGAGAATAGGAGGGGCGTCCTCGGCTCCTTCGAGAATGGAATAAAAGCCGAAATTTTTCTTTACCATAAGAATTTGCTTGCCGATAAGGATTTGCTCGCCGATCAGACTTCATTTCAGGCTGCCTTTAGGGTGCAACGGGCAGCACTACTTGCGCGAACGAGAATCGTTATTTCTTACGTCAGGGTGGCTGTCGTTTGTTGTTGCTACAGCGGTCACGGCCTGGAGTTATGTATCGGCTGAGGGACGAACGGCGTCCTATGGGTTTTCGTCGCCGTCGTCGTTGTTTTCTTTACCTTGCTCTCGGATCTCATTAATCATTTCGTGTTCATCCACGGCAGATGTTGTGTTCCGCAATCACAGGCTATCGCGAGCAGGGTACAAAGAACAACCAGGATGAACCATCAAGAGGTTCTCAGACGAAAAAAAAAAAAACTGAAGCCAGAAAAGACAGATCAGAGAAAATCAAAGCTTTCGTGACAGCCAACCGGGAAGCAGATCCGGGTGATCAGACAATAATAGGAGGCTGAGTCGAAGCGTTCGCCGAATGACTGCGAAACGCACCCCACTATCCGAGCATACCATCACTGTCGAGAATACTGTGTACAATATATTCGCCACCTGTACACACACACAAATCTAGAGGGCGGTCCGTTGATCACTCCGCCTGAGAAACGTACTTCCATGGATATTCTGCCACCAGCCTCCCCGAAACCCGCCAACACTTGAAAACCCTTCAACAGCGACACTGCATCTGCAGAAAACAAACGCTACAAGTCTGAACAGATTCGCAAATGAACACCGAACGCGGACACGTAAAATCCCACCCAGAGCCATCCCAAACCAAAACATCGGCCCTTGCAGCTCGCCTCCTGCGAAAACGACCAGCACTTCCGGGGAGCGGGGCTCGTGGCCCACCTTCTACTCTGTAGTTGATCTTGTGACCTCGCCATCGCCACGTCTCATAGACCCGCCGCACGTCCCCGACGGCCTCCACCTCCGCCGTTGCCGAACCCGGTTCTTCCCGCTGCTGGGCGGCGCGACGCAGCTCCCGCCGTCCCGGCGGCCCGACGGGAGGCGCAGCCGTCCATTGCTGCCGCGGCTTTGTCTCGGAAGCGGAACATTTGGCGTTCACTGGTTAACGCGTTTTTTTCACGGAGAGGTTGGGTAACGGCGGCGGGACAGCAGTAGTTACGCGAGGTATATACTATTTGAAAGCATCTGCGGACTGGACTTTCCGGATCCTCTTGGATTGGTCAGCCGTGTGTGACAACGCTTGGTCACGGGGGATATAGTTCTGTCTGAGCGAGGAAGGCGCGAACAGGCACGTGTGCACACGGTCAAGTTCGTGTGTTCCTCTAGGCATTCATCGACAGCGAACCCTTTTTGCCTTATATTATTAAAGGACGATACAAAAAGAAGTCCTCTACTTCATGTTATCCTGTATGCAGACCTAGCGCGACAACTAACGTCTGTGTGTACATCATCATCCCATTTACGCAAACGTCACCCTTGTGTTTGTATGCAGGGGTGCTTTCTCAGTTCCATTGGAATCTGCTCATCTCTCTCCCTCACGCTTCGCCGAACGTGTGTTATGTTCGTCCCACCGGGACAGATTTAACGTGGCGTCCGCCAATGAGCGGTCACCATTTAACTTGGTGCCTACTTGGTGGTCTTGTCTCTTTTCGAGTTATTTTTTCAAATACTCCGCTTTCTTCTGGACACGTGGTTTGTTGTGTTTCTATGCATGGGATCATGCAGCTCTTTCGCGAGATTACCAACAGCGACCAAGCTTATTCCTGAAACTGGCTCAAAGACTTCAGCGCACCCCTTTCGACTGGGGTTACAGGAGCATATCTCGAATCGGTATCATTAAGTAGTCTTACCGTGTTTTGGTAATTTTCTAAAAACTGGCTCATCCACAGACCACCTAGCCAGCACTGACCGAGTGGGTCAGCCCCTTCCCAGCAAATGCTTGGTTTTCGTGTCACTCTGCTCTTATAAAAATGCTTTTGTAATAACGAATACTGCTGCTGTATGTACTGCTGTAGTCTACAGCAGTACAAGCGCCACGACAACGGTTCTGCAGTCAACGCGGCGGTGTTGGCTCTAAATCCAAGATGTTTGGAGGCCAAAAACTATCGACCTTCCGGGTGCGGGATTCCCAACGTTAACATTTGTACCAGTAGAGGGCAGCACGGAGCAGTGACTGCTGTGCGTTGGCACGCCCAGATCTCTTCCTGGACTACTGCTGTCTTCGTACTACTGCTGTATCGCAGTAGTCTACAGCAGCTACAAGACTGCTGTAGTCGACCTCTGTACATACGACTTGCATACGACGTGCACATGATGGATACCTGAGATTGGCTTCCACGTTGGTCTTTGGTGTGATACGAAGGCCGGGCACGTCGCCACCAACCACCCGGCGCTAGTGAGAGCCCCAAGGCGCAAGTACATCTCTATTCAACCCGGCTGTCGGTCGCAGCGCACCAGGACGTTCAAACACGCCACTAACGCGGCGGCAAAAAACATGCTCAGGGGGGCTCCGGACCTGATTCATTCCCCCACCCACACCTGCCTGCCCCACATCCCCACTTAATCCCCACACAAATCTGTCTCCGTGCACCGAGCGGCGAGACGGATACCGTGGAGGTAACTGCGGCAAGCACACACACACACAGCGCAGAGGCACACCGCAGCAGGACGACGGGTGAGAGTAGGAGTTAGCCCACGAGAAGGATATCCTGGTCCACTGGGAAAATTGTATGGATTATGAACCTGAACGGCGATGACGATGGCGGCAACAAATCGACCCCGGCGGGCACTGCTGATGCGAGTGCAAGCAGCAGCAGTGCCGCCGGTGGTCTTGATGTGCTGGGACAGGCGGTCGAGTCCGCCACGGCAGCGTCGCCAGGACTAGCGCCGCCAGGGCTAGCTCCTCTATCGCCGGCGCCCGCGGCGTCAACCGCCGGGCCAGCAGCACCAGCAGCAGCAACAACAACCGCCGTTCCGGCGGCGTCTTCGGCTTGTTTGGTGACCCCGCAAGGCACTGTGGTGGAGCTTTCGGACGCTCAGGAGATCCAAACCCACAACATCATTACCACCATGCCGTTCATCACTCCGCCCCTTGTGGGGACTACTGCAGACGGCGGCGCCGCTCCGGCAGAGAGCGCGGCGCCGGGAAGCCCGTCTTGCGGTGAGAATGTCGCCGTCGCTGATGTTGCTGCTGGTGCTGCTCCATCGCACGAACTAGGCAACAGGGGCGGAGGCGACTCTGCCGACGACGGTACCGCTGCTGCAGAAAAGGCAGCAGGATCACCACCGACAGCCGGTTTGGAATCCGCAACGGCGGTGGCGAACACGGACGTGACGACAACAAGCGCCGCTGCCAGTCCCACTGCTGCTGTTCCTGCCGCACCGGCTGCTGCTGCGCCGCCGGCGGCGGAGGCGGGAATCAGAACCTCAACTGCTGCCACACCTGCGGCGCCCCCCGCAGAAACGACGACGATTACCCCTACCACTAGCGAAGGAGGCGGCTGCCCGACTCCCGTTCCTGCGGTAGCGGTGACGACAGGAGGAATCAGTCTCGCACCAACGACGATGACGCCTGCCCTACCTCCTCCGGTAGCGACCACACTACTGACACCGGCGGCGAGCGGAGCCGGCGGCGGGACGCAGACGCCCACAAACACCCCTGCTGAAGATGGCGATGATGCCAGCCTGGCCGCTCGTGCCGACTCTAGCGCCGCCGCTGTTACCGCCGTTACACCGGCAGCAGTGGCACCACTGGCACCTGGAGTGGCCACGGCGGCGGGGACAGGTGCGGCCGGCGCCGAGCTGAGTGACAGGACCGGTAGCGGTGCTGGTGCTGCCGCTCTTGACAGTAGTGCCGTGTCTTCGTCCTCCTCCTCGAATGCGAAAGTAGTGGCGGCGGTACCAGGCGCCGCCGCGGAAGCCGCCGCCAGGCCCTCCTCCGGCGAGACCAGCAGTGGTGACAGCAGTACCCTGCCACCACCGCTGTCGTCCTCATCCGCCGGCCCATCCGATGGTGCGCCGGCGCAGAGCCGAGGCGGGCTTGCGGCGGCAGCGGCGGAGCTGCTGGTGGTGGGCGCTGGTGATGCGCAGCAGGCGGTGGACACGGAGGGGCAGGGGCAAGGCGCGAAGCAGGAGGGGAGGAAAGGAAAGCAGCGGCAGCAGCAGCCAAGGGTGCAACGCCCGCGGCGGCTTCGGGCCGACAAGAGAAAGGCGCTGGACATGCTGCGCATGGAACCGGAGGCTGGCGAGGACAAGAGCAAGCGCGGGAAAAGAAGCCAGGAGGAGGAAGAAGAGGGACGGGAAGGGGAGGAGAAGGAACCGGCGGTGGCAGCGGTGGAACAGGAGGAGGAGGACGAATTGTGGGACGCTGGAGAAACAGCTGCAATGTCTCCGGCCACGGCCCTTCTTCCGCCACCGCCACCGGATGAGCCGCCGCAGTCGGCGAAGCGAAAAAGGCAGTCGCCGAAAAAGCAGCTGCAGCAGCGCCAAGCAGCGGCAGCAGCAAAGGCGGCCACACCACGCAAGAATCAAAATCATAAGCAGAGGAAGCTACAGCTGCAACCGCCCAACTTCGAGATCGAAAAGCACGGGGGAGGGAAAATCCGCAAGCGCTACTCCTTAGATTTCAAGGTGAACGTGGCAAAGGGTTGCGTATGGGGGTATGCACAGACTGTTTTTTCGTTTGCCGCCCAAAACAGCCAGTAGGTGCTGTCGTTGCCACGTTGTGTAGTTGTATCGCCGCGGACTCCCTTCTTTCTTGTACTGAATCACTTGGCCATGGTATTCATGTACCAAGCTAACCGCCGACCCCCTCTCCGTCTTCAAGTACCCTTTTACGTACCAAGCGAACCGCCCCACCTCGTCTCCGTCTTCAACTACCCCTCCCCCCCGAACCACATGGGCTCAGGTGAAGGCAGCGAGATACGCCCTTTCCCCCGACCCCAAGGGCCAGGCACGCGGTGGCACGGTCGGGGCGCGCTACGCTGCGGCGCAGCTCGACATCCCCGAGTCGCAGAGCGTGCGGGAGTGGATGAGGCGGCTGCCGGAGATGGAGGCGGAGCTGACGCGGGCGCAGACGGACGGCGGGGAGAAGGTTTCCCGCCACGTTCGCCGGAAGAAGTCCATGTCGAATGGGCGGGTGAGGAGGGCTCGTTTTTGGTTCTTGACGACCCATTTGCGTGATTTGGAGTCCGATTCTTGACGACCCATTGTGTGATTGGAGTTTGGCGAGCAAGAGACGACACCCGCGGGTTTTCCTAGCGCGGTGATGAGTCAGTCTACACTGAAGGTGTCGACACATGTATGCATATCTAGAGCATCTGCTGTATTTGCTTCCGTGAAGCACTTTTGATCGTAGCACTGCTGCGGCGTCCCATTTATGATCGCGTGTCCCCCGCCCAAATCTGTCGACAAGGCCGAGGTTCGACAGCCGTACGGTCGGACGATGGTGTGAAACGATTGCGGCGAACGATGAAGTGATGCTCTTGCGCTAGAAGATATCCGCGACCAGACACCATACCTCGCCATACCCGCAAGGAAGTATCGCATTACCGAGAAGTTCCGGGGTGGAAAATTCCACGCCACCGAACCCACCTCACCGGAACCTCAGGCGCTCCTACTGCACCGTGTGTGTTTTGTCCAACAAACGATTGTGGACAACAAGCGAGTTCCAGCCTTTGGCCAAAATATTCCATTTGCCAAGAGATTCTAGTCTAACACGTTGAGTGTTCGCTTTTGTGTGGGCTTATGTGGTACTACCACTGTGCCGTGGTCACCGCCGTCTTGGTTGGCCCCCGGGCACTACAGGGCATCAAGGCCCGGAGCACGAGTTGCGTCTCTTGGCCATGAGGGTTGCGTGCGCGCGTAGAACACAGTTGCAAGCATTCTGGCCGGCGAGATTGGACAAAAGTCCACCGTCTTTGCTCGGCCGGTGGGTGTCCTCTATCACACACGACTTGAAGGTAGTTTTCACAACAACCACGACAACGCAACCTCAATTTTTGTGTTTGTGTACAGCTCCCTTGTCTCATTCTTCCCCTCCATATATTTTCGACACAGTACTCACGCCCCTCCCCCCCCCCCCCCCCCCCCCCCCCCCCCCC